GTTTTTACTTCAAGCACATCTAAAACATGAGGAGATGTGTAGACAGTCAAGGGGCGGCACATGGACCACAGTGCTTCTGGGAATGCCCTGCAAGTTGGAAAAGGAGAATGGAGATACTGAAAAGCCACACATTCATGAAGAATCACTTCTTAGTTCTTAGTTCTTTTTTGCTTCCACTTTGCCTCTTCTCAACCCTGCTGATGCATGTAATTGACAGCCTGTGGTTTTTCTGGGGCAGAGATTTCTGGATTGCTTCCTGCTCATCCTCAGGGGACCATCTGGAACTGACAGTCTGTCCTCCAGACTCATATCTTCCTCTTTCCAATCAACCAGTCAATCATCAAGCATTTGTGCACACCTCATGTGCCCAGCAGCCTCCTTTGCTGTGGGAGAAGCACTCAGAGCTAGAGTGCCCTCCGCATTCAACAGAAGCACAGCTAAGTGTCAAGGCTCAGGTTAAATTTCAGGAAGCGTTTACTGGGGGAGGCAAGCAGGTTGTAATCACAGGTTTTTCAGAGACATGTACAGTCTTTCTGTGAGTTTCTTTAGATCCCATCTCTGGCATTTTCCTGCCCAAATCCAACCTTTCTATCCTTGCCTGACTGACTCTAAGGCTTTCGATCTAAAGAGTATGTGAGTAAATGTTTTCATGAGTCCACAATTACTGTAGTCAAAACTGAAATTATGTGCTTTACCACATAGTAGCTTAACAGATGCCTTGAGCATAGATTCACACTTGAAATTTTTTTATTTGGCTTTTTTTTTTTTTCAGAATGAAAAACATATTTTCTTCAACTTTTTAATGATTTTTTTCTTCAGTTAACCTTTTAATGATGTGTGATGTTGTATCTTATTTTTAAAGTTATTATTCATTCTTTTATCCAACAAGTATTTAAATGACAACATATTGTATGTCGCACATTATTTAGGCATCTAAGGATAGAGCAGTGAACCAAAGACACAAAAGTCCCTGCCTCCATGGAGCCTATATTTCAGTGAACTGCTAATAAGATGATAAGTTCCTACATTCTTAAAGTCTCTGTGTTCCTAATTCTGAATAGCCAGATGCTAGTCCATTTATATATAACATGGTTTACTTAACAGTTCACGAATTTTCTTTTTTTTTTTTTTTTGAGACGGAGTTTCGCTCTTGTTACCCAGGCTGGAGTGCAATGGCGCGATCTTGGCTCACCGCAACCTCCGCCTCCTGGGTTCAGGCAATTCTCCTGCCTCAGCCTCCTGAGTAGCTGGGATTACAGGCACGCGCCACCATGCCCAGCTAATTTTTTGTAGTTTTAGTAGAGACGGGGTTTCACCATGTTGACCAGGATGGTCTCGATCTCTTGACCTTGTGATCCACCCGCCTCGGCCTCCCAAAGTGCTGGGATTACAAGCGTGAGCCACCGCGCCCGGCCAGAATTTTCTATTTTAAATAATGCAATGATGAACATCTTTTATGCATGTTTTCTTCATGTCTGATCATTTCCTCAGGCTCTCCAGAATTGCTGTGGTGTGCTTTCAAGTTCCCAGCCTAGTCACACTCCAGAATCACACCATCCCCGGCTTAAGGAATCAGCATCTCCAAGGTAAGTTCCAGGCATATGTATTTCTCATTCTTAGCCAAAGTTTAGAATATTATTATGATTCTACACTGTCACTTTGATTCTGTTTTTAATTGCATATTTATTATATATAATATTTATAATTTCAAGTTTCTCTGGTTTTTAATAATAATTTACTGTAATACAACCATTATTGAATAGCTGGTCAGTTGGTATGGTTCCCATAGGGGCAGGGCTCAGTCTTTATTATTCTGCCATAATTCACATTTTAAATGAAATGCTACCCAAAGAATGAAATACACTTTGCAAGTGAAAAGAGAAAAAATAATGATTTGTGTTTATTGTAACAGTTCCTAACCTTCCTTAAGAAGAGTTTTCTCAAGTTGTATTGCGAAATTGATTTTATAATCCATAGTATAGATTTTTATATACTGATGCTGTGTTTCACCTATTTCTATTGACTCTCCATTAGCACTTTACTGTCTTTAAAAAATAAACACAAAAAAAATCAATCTTGCTAATTCATATTATGTTTAAAAATACTATTTCTAGGTAAAATTCCCTCTAGTTGACTAAAAAACACAAGGTAACTCAAGATTTTGGTTGGGGGTGGGGTGGTGATAAGTTTGCATAAGGGTGGAGAGGTTTGCATGCCTGGTGAGAGGTCTAGAGATATTTGGAATTCAGTACCTTAGAAATTTTTCTTTTTTTAAAAAAATTGTACTATGACTTTTATAATGAGGTGCCTTTGTATTAAAAAAAAAAAGCAGAGATAAAATAATTATTTGGTTTAGATATTTTAAAGTATGACTATCATTCAAAATTTGAAGAGCCATACAGCAATTAGTCACTAAATTCAGTTTCAAGCCTCCTAGAAGCCAAGGCAAAAAAGGAAAATCTATACTTCTTATTGGTCTAGTGAAGTATATAAAATCATTCAGAAAAGCAACCTGTCCTTTGGGAGGTTTTTAAAGATATAGTCAAAAAACTTGAAAACATGATGGATGCATGTTCCGAAGATCAGAGTTATTTCAAAAACCTTTCAAGACTTTCTATTTCTTTCTGCTTCTTACTCTTAATCGTCTCTCTTGTTTTGTCTTTATAATTTGGCATTCTGTATATTGGCAAAAGTGCTGCTGTCAAAGACAAGTAGAATGGCTCCTGTCTCGCTGCCTTGCTAGCACTTGAGCTATGTAGTGTTAATACCAGTGGGGAAGGCTCAACAGAAGACAGCTATGTTTAACTTCACATCAACTTTGTTAGCTTTTTTCTAATTACGTTATCAAATTCCATTAGACAAGGGTCAGGAATTAACATTTTTAGCATCAAAGATTTATATTATTTTTATGATTTAAATTATTAAAATGACATAAGTTGTTCTTAGTCACTTGTTATTATTCTCATTTGTGTTCATTGCTATGGGATCATTTTAGTAATTTTTAGTTGACCCCTTAATGCAGCTGTATGAATTATTGAATATTCTTGACCTTTCTGCTACAGTGTTTTCTAGAGAAACTTTTGATAGTGAATACACCCTGATATTAGCATTCACAGAAGATAGAAATATTTGTGCTTTTTTTGTCTTTTCAGTTGCTTTATTACAAAATACATACTTTCTTTTGGTAGATATGTTCAACAATTAGAAAGGTAGAAAGTAGAAACGAATATTCCCTTCTTCTCAATTTCTGTTTTCAAAGAAATTTTGTTTGAAGGTTTATTATTTTAGGCTTTCAAAAATATTTATGGATGGCTGAGCATAGAAATATTTATATTTGTTTTTTTATAAAAGGAGCATTAGTGTTTCAGGGAAAAAAAGCAACATTTATTTACCAGTAGCAATTTAAAATTGTTATTTACTTAACATATACTTATGTATCACTTGCTATGTTCTGTGTTCAAGTTCTCTATACTTACATTGCTCTAAGTGTGTTAAAAGTCATTAGCTGTTGGTGGGGTGTGGTGGCTCACGCCTGTAATCCCAGTACTTTGGGAGGCTGAGGCTGGTGGATCACCAGGTCAGGAGTTCGAGATCAGCCTGACCAATATGGTGAAACCCGTCTCTACTAATAGAAAAATTAGTTGGGTGTGGTGGGGTGCACCTGTAATCCTAGCTACTCAGGAGGCTGAGGGAGGACAATTGCTTGAACCTGGAAGGCGGAGGTTGCAATGAGCCGAGATCGTGCTACTGCACTCCAGCCTGGGCGACTGGGCAAGACTCCATTTAAAAAAAGAAAAAATCATTAGTTATTGTAAAACTCCTGTAAAACTAAGACACAGAGGCTTAGTCACTTGCCTTAGGTAACACAGTTAGGAAGTGGTAGAGTCAGAATTTGAATCTAGACAGCCCAGCCTCTAAGACTTCTGTCTACCAGGCTCTTGATTCCAACAACATCCCTCATCAACAAAAGAAAAACAAAATTCATCTTGGGAATTTTTCAGACATAATAACATTTTCATAGTTTAAGTCTTTATAAATCCTCCCTTAATGCATGCAGTTTTTAGAGCTACCATTTTGTCTTCTTCCTTCTAAGGTTGTCAGATAAAATAGAAGATACCAGGCCGGGTGAGGTAGCTCAGACCTATAATCCCAGCACTTGGGAAGTGAAGGTGGGTGAATCACTTGAGGTCAGGAGTTAGACCAGCGTGGCCAACATGGTGAAATCCCATCTCTACTAAAAATACAAAAATTAGCTAGTTGTGGTGGTGTGCACCTGTAATCCTGGCTACTCAGGAGGCTGTGGCAGAAGAAACGCTTTAACCTGGGAGGCAGAGGTTGCAGTGAGCCAAGATTACACCGCTGTAATCCAGCCTGGGTGACAGAGCAAGCTCCACCTGAAAAAAAAAAAAAGAAAAAAAAATACACAAACACACACACACACACGTGCATGTGCTTATATATACTAAATGTTTATATATGTGTGTGTATGTATACTAAATGTATATATACTAAAAGTATACATGTATGATAAAAGTATATCATATATGTGTGTCTGTATATATATATACTTTTTACGTATATACACACACACGTCTATGATATCTAGTTAAATTTGAATTTCTTATAAACAAATAGCTTTTTAGTATAGGTATGTCCCAAATATTGCACTTTTAACTGGCATCCTATATTTTTCTTTGCTAAATTTGACAGCCTTATTTCCTTCCCTTTGTCTTGAAACTTCTCAAAGTTAGTACCTTTACTTTCTCACCACCATTCTCTCTGTAACAGGGCTCTGTTAATCCTATTTTCTCAAAGCAGTCCATGGCCTTGTCTTAGTTCCCATATTCTCAGAACTCTTGGCCACCTTGTATAATTTTGATAGTGTAACTATATAACTTAACATCAACATTAGATACTTTTATCCTGAGACTGTAGATGAAACAGAAATTGTCTAAGGAAAATCATGACTTAAGGTGAAACTAAATGTTGAGCACCTCATCCTTCTTAAAAATTATTTTTTTCCTGATTTCTAATGTATGCTGGTTACCCTGTTTTTTGCACTTTTAACCCATTACACATTCAAATTCTCTTTACTGGCTTTGTTTTTTCTTTACTTCCTACTTATCAAATGCAGGTATTATATTTATGATTTTCTCCCAGATTTATATGTCTAGATCTGAATGCTTCCTCAAATATATTTCCAACTATCATAGTCATATTTCTGTTATGTCTCCCAGACTTTGCAAGTTGCATGTAGGTAGATACAGAATTATAATATATAGCATTTGTGTAATGCTTACTTATACCTCACATATACTGAGGTTTTTATTTTCACAACTCTATTATTATACCTATTTTACAGAAGCTGAGGCACAAAGAGGCTTAAGATGTACTTACAAGGTCACTAAGACAGCTAATGGAATTGCCAAGATTTGTCCCTTCAGTGCTGGAGAGCTTCCCAGGAGCTTTCCATCTGCTGGGTCCAGGTGCCACTTTTCAGAGTCAGACAGATCTTCCATACTCTGCTTTCTTTCTTGCACCAAGTCATAGAACCTCAGCCAGAACTTCCTTCTCCTTATGCAAGTTGCCACCATTACATAGCTCCACTCCTACCCCTTTCCCCACCTCCAACCCAGCCTGGATGGCGAAGGAGGCACAATTTCTCCTGCAATGTTCTTTCATGTTCTCCAGTACAAACAAGCATAAATATAATCTGGGGGAGGGAGTGAGGACAAATTATAATAAGAGATTACAAAAATAAACACTAAGGGAAATACAATTATTCAAAGTTTTAACTCTCATGATCTGCCCTATAATTTTTGCATGTCTTCTGATAGATAACTAACTAGAAGTCTAGTAGAAATTAGCGCTTTTGGTTTTTTGAGATGGGGTCTTGCTCTATCACCTAGGTTGCACTGCAGTGTTACAATCAGGGTTACTGCAGCCTTGACCTCCCTGGCTCAAGCTATCCTCCCACCTCAGCCTCCTGAGTAGCTGAGACTACAGGTATGCACCACCGTGCCTGGCTAATTTTTACATTTTCTGTAGAGACGGTCTTAGAGATAGTCTTATCACGTTATGCAGGCTGGTCTCGAACTCCTGGGCTCAAGTGACCGTCATGCCTTGGCCTCAGTGGTCAGATTACAGGTATGAGCCACTGCGCCCAGTCTGAATTATAAGTTGTAAATGGATGGTTTACAAAAGAGCTCAAGGCAATTTTTGGAGGTGATGGATATATTTAATACCTTGGTTATGGTGATGGCGTCATGGGTTCATGCATATGTCTTAACTCATAAAGATGCGTACCTTAAATGTGTGCCATTTTTTATATCAATGATACCTCAGTCAAACTGAAAAAAAAAAAAAAAAAAAATGGGTGAATTGTCCCTCACTAAACCTGCCCTAAAAAGTAAAAGAACGCAGTTTTCATGATCCTAATCTAAGTCTCTCACATTCTCCATAATTCAGAGTCCGCCCTTTTTTCCTGAAAGCAGCTATTATTGATGTTTGTTCATGTTACTTGAATGGATCACTATTTGTTTATTTTAAAATGATAACTGAGCATCTAATATGTGCCAGGCCATGTTCTAGATATGAAGGAAGAGTGTAGCAATGAACTGCAGAGCGTTCAGGAAGTTAACATTTCATATGGAAGACATAGGGAAAATAGGTAAACAAAGGAAACATAAGTGTTGCCTTCCTGTGGGAGAAGGAAGGGCTCTGCTACCCACCTGCAGAGGCTCCTCTCCAGTGCGTTCTCCTTCTAAGAGTCATTTTCTTCATCTGTGACATGGGAATCATTTTTGTTTCGCTTGCCACACAGGATTTTCTAAAAGAATCAAGTGAAATAAGTTCTGTGAAAAGTCCTCAAACTGTAAGAAATATGAAATTTAACATTTAAAGAAGGTTTGTGTATATTCAAAGAAAAGAAATCTTATGTTTAACTGGAAAATGTAAACAGACACATGAAATGTCCATGAATCTGGGGAAGAGTTTCCTCAGTCACATTCCTCTAACACTTGTGTCCATTTTTAGTACAGTAACGATGCTTAAGATTGTGTAACTGAATATTTCATCAGAACAATCAAGGTTACCCTTCAAAGCAGTGATAGAATTATCTTCTCCTAACTAAATATAGGTATCTTAACAAACAGAAGGGCTTCCCCATGAGCCAAATGAAATGGCCTTTATATTTGAGATACTCGCTTACTTAGAAAATAAAAAAGGAAACAATTTGCTAAATTTGCAGCTTTTCCCCCCTAGAACTTTGAGTTAAAATACTTGTGGGGAAAGATTTTTCACATGATGTATATTTAGAAAAAAGAAAAAGAATTAAGTAAAAGGTAAATTTGTATTGGTGAAAGAAGAAGGTTTGCATAGAGTTTTACAGTCTATCTCTTGGGTATGTTTAATCTTCTGAAGTTTAAAAACAATTACCTGTACCTACCTTTTCTCTTTCTTGATTCCTTTATTTAACCTTTGAATTTAGTAAAAAATGGTCTCTATTTTATTACAGTTATGAAGATTAAAGCTGACCTTTATATTTTCCTTTTTTAAATTTAAAACTTTGGTCACTTTTCTTTTTTAATAAAGATGGTCATATAAAATTGATCCACCAACAAATGATGTAGGAATTTCAGGGTCTTATTGAGATTAGTCTCTATTAATTATAAGGTACATTAATTATACTCTAAATGATAATTAGCCTATTCTCTAATCTATTGCTTATTTTCACATTGGTTTCATACTTGGCTTCCTGCATCTGTGTATTTAAGATAGAAATTTTGTTTGAAAACTAACTTTAGTAGTAAAATTTCCTACATTGCTCAGACATTTTGAAAGTGCTTTACAAGTTGCAAAAATATTATAAAGCTGTAGGGTAGTGACAGTATTCATCTTAGTCTGTTCAGTAAACGATAATAAAATAGCATGACCTGGGTGGTTTATAAACAACAGAAATTTATCTCTCACAGTTCTGGAGGTAAGGAAGTTGAAGAACAAGGAACCAGCAGATTTAGTGCCTGGTGAAGATCATGCTCCTAGAACATCATCTTTTTGCTATGACTTTGCCTGGTGGAAGCGGGGAGGGGACTCTCCTTTATTTAAGGACACTAATTTCATTCATGAGGGCAGAATGGACTTAGCCCTATCTCCTAATGTCCTTACTTGTGGGGTTAGAAGTTCAACATTTGAATTTTGGGGGAAAACAGACATTGAGACTATAGCAGCATTGTTATATATTCAATGTGTTACTTGCTAATTTTGCTCCAAGTAGCTTCCTCACTATCAAATCACTAGCTGTGCACCCATCTCATTGTTCCTCCCTGTCTCCTATCTGACTTGTCTTTTTTGAAATTCTCTTCCACTTTCCATCTTACCTCTTCATTGCCATTTTGTCTGGATCTCTGACTCCTCTTTTTTCCTGATTTAGAAATGTGGGTGGTCTCAATCATATCTATGGCTTGTCTCTGTTTTTTTTTTTTTTCACCTATACCTTTTTCTTTAGTGATCTCTTTTATTTCCTAGCACCATTTCTTAAATTATTTCATTTTACATTCTTGTCATTTATCAGTTCAAGAAACTGTGCATTGATATGTACATAAACACTACATTTATAATCTGTAGTCCCATCTTCTCTTCAAACTCTGATTTCCCACTTTCACTTGAGATCTCCTTTTGGAAAGGCTGAAATGTTCAATCTCATTTTCTCAAACGTAACCCATAATCTTTCTCCTCCAACTTGGCTAATTTTTTGGTTAACGTATTCTATTTCCAGTTCACTGGGTACTCAGGTGTTATATTTGACTCTTTCCTTTTTCTTACTCTATATCCAGTCAATCTTCAACTCCTGTGTATTCTGCTGCTAAAAGGCCAGTTTAATCTAGAAACTCTGCTAATACTTGCCTGGACTAGTTGCAATAGTCTGCTAATTGACATGCTCTTTGTAAAATCCAGTTTTTTTCTATTGGCATTATCTTATTCATGATCTATCTTCTACTTGCTTTCTGGACTTCTTTCTTATGAATTTTCTATGTTACAGCCAAACATAATTATTCATCTTTCCTTAAAACGTCCCAAACTTTGTGCCTCTTTGTTCATCCACTTCCTTTTTTCTTTAATGTGACCACCACCCCTTTACTCTGTTGAAATACCATTCATCTTCAAGCTCCAAGTCGAATATTACCACCTCCATGGAGATCATTGATTTCTTGATCTCATGATTTGTTTTCACTCAGAATTCCCACAGAAATTTGTTTCTACTGCTCTTATTTTGTAAATTTTCAAGACTTTCATTCCATATAGCCCAATGTTTTGGCTGTGTATGCCTATCATCTCCCTCACTCCTCTTGGGGGACGAGTTTTACATATTCCTATAGCCCACTATACTTAGCTCAGTGCCTTGCACGTGGTAGGCATCTGATGCACAAATGGTTGCGTGACTGAACCACTTGGCCATATAACTGAATCTTGATATTGTGCTTCTCTTAAAACGTTCATCTCCAGGCCAATTTCAGTGAACCATTCCACAGGATTTTCAGAATCATTCCTTTCTAAAGATGAAAGAGCAAGCACTCTGGAATAGTGCTCAATATTTTCTTAGACCATGTACATTGAGGTCAGAAAAGGAAACAGCTCTCTAGAGAGTTTTCAAATGTCCTTGGAGAGTGTAAAATTAATATAGGTATCTTCTGGCTTTTTAAAATTGTCTTCTGATATATGAAAAATATATATGTCTATGTGGATTAAAAATTCATCATTCAGTGGGTACTAATGGGAGCAAGACCTGTGAAGGTAAAGCTCCTGAGACAGAACAATGCAAAGCTGCAAGTGCCTTCATTGCAAAATGCTTTGCCACCTTAAGACCTGAAGCAAATAAACTTCAGTGAGAACACTTACATAAAGACACATTCACCCATTATCTCTCTTCTCTACAAGGGCAAGAAATGAATCTCAGGGTCTCTCTTGGAGCCTGATGGCTGTTTTTATCCTGAAGCGATTATTCACTTACTTGTTAAATATTGCTCCATTTTAGAATATTAAAATAATATATTTCTGGCTTTCCAAGTGATGCTGTCACTTGCATCTAATATAGAGAAAATCAGCTGTTATTGAAAAACTCCATAGAAAAGAGAGGCATGTACAAACCTTGGGAACTCAAAATACCACATGGGAACAAGAATTATGCTAATGTACAACTTACAAGAGAAAAGGAGCAAAACTGAGGCAGCAGCTGCTCTCAAACAATGATATTCAGATGAATGGCATTGAAGTATGTTTAACTTTTAGAATTGATGACTATCTTAGGTTCTTAGTCTTTCATGGATAAACTAGATATAAGAGCAGAAGTTAAACCTACCAAGATTTTTTGCACATAAAGCCCCAAGTTGCTTAGCACCTCAAAGACCTGCTGCCAAATATTCTAACTCTCACTATAATCTGATTCCTAAGGTATAATTCTGAGAACAATGAATTCTTTATCTTGTACATTTATTGCTGGAAAATAATTTCACATTTCTGAAGGGCAATTAGGTAATTCCAGAGTAAAAGTCTTAAAATATGCAATACAGAGTTATCTTCTGTTTAAAAACAGCTTTATTATAATTCACATACCGTGCAATTTACCCATTTAAAGGATATGATTCAAAAGATTTTAGTATGTTTACAGACATGTACAACCATCCCCACAGTCAACTTTAAAAGATTTCCTTTGCCTCAAAATAAAACGTGGTACGCATTAGCTATCATCACCTACCCACCCACTTCCATCTCGCCCTTCAGCCCTAAGCAATCAATAATTTACTTTCTGTCTCATATTTCCCTGTTCTGGAACTTGATAGGACTGGAATCATATGATGTGTGGATGTTTTGTGACTGAGTTGTTTTCCTTCACATAAAGTTTTCAAGGTGTGTCTGTGTTGTAGCATAGACCAATACTTTAATTCTTTTTATGATGAAATAAGATTCCGTTGTATGAGAATACCATATTTTAAAATCCATTTGTCTCTTGATAGTCATTTGTGTTTTTCTACCTTTTGGCTATTATGAATAATACTGATTTAAACATTCACGAACAAGCTTTTTTATGGACATATATTTTCATTTCTCTTGGTTATATACCTAAAAGTAGAATTGCTAGGTCATATGGTAATTCTGTGTTTAATCATCTGAAAAGCTGCCAGATTGTTTCTCAAAGTACGTAGACCATTTTACATTCCCATCAGTAGTGTATTAGCATTACGCTTTATCCTTATCCTCTTCAACACTTGGTACTGACTTTTTAATTCCAGTCAGCCTTGTGGGTATGCAGTGATATATCACTGTGATTTTGGTTTGCATTTTTTTTATGACTAAAGATGTTGACCATCTTTTCATGAGTTTATTAGCCATTTATACCCCATTCTCTGGAGAAATGTCTATTCAGCTCCTTTGTTCATTTTAAAAATTGAGTTGTTTTTATGATTGAGTTATAAAAGCTATATATTCTGCATACCAGACCCTTTTTGGGTACATAATTTGCAAATCTATTCTCCCGTTCTGTGGGTTGTCTTTTCTATTTCTTGATGGTGTTCTTTGAAGAACAACAATATTTAATATTGATGACATTCAGTTTATCTATTTTTTTCTTTTTGCTCATGCTTTTTGTTTCACCTCTAAGAATGCTTTGCCAAATCCAATATTATAAAGATTTAGACCTATGTTTTTTAAAAAAAATTGTATAGTTTTAATTCTTTCATTTAGGCTTTTGAGCCATTTCGAGTTAATTTCTATACATGATGTGAAGTGGGGATCCAACTTTATCTTTTTATATGTGATTATTGTTATCTCTTGCACCATTTGTTAAAAAAAAACAACAACTATTCTTTCCCTATTGAATGGTATTAGCACCATTATTGAAAATCAATTGATCATAGATGTATGGGTTTATTTCTGTAGTCTCAGTACCATTCCATTGATCTATATGTCCATTCTTCTGCCAATGCCACACTGTTTTGACTACTGTCACTTTGTAGTAAGTTTTGAAATCTGAATTCTCCAACCTTATTTTTTTTAAGGATTATTTTTGCTATTTTTGGCCCCTTGCAATTTCATGTGAATTTTAGTATTAATTGTTAATTTCTACAAAGAAATCAGCTGGGGGCTGGAGTCAATGGCTCACACCTGTAATCCCAGCACTCTGGGATGCTGAGGCAGGTGGATCACAGAGTCAGGAGTTCAAGACCAGCTGGGCCAATATGGTGAAACTCCGTCTCTGCTAAAGATACAAAAATTAGCCAGGCATGGTAGCAGGTGCCTGTAATCCCAGCTACCTGGGAAGCTGAGGCAGGAGAATCACTTGAACCTTGGAGGCAGAGGTTGCAGTGAGCCAAGATTGCGCCATTGCATTCTAGCCTGGGTGACAGAGCAAGACTCTGTCTCAAATAAAAAGAAGAAGAAACCAGCTGGGATGCTGGTAAAGATTGTGTTGAATCTATGTATCAGTTTGAGGAATATTACTATCTGAACAATGTTGTCTTCTGATCTATGAACCTAAAAGTTTATTCATTATTTGGTTTCCTTTACTTTCAACAATGTTTTGTAGGGTTCAGAGTATAAGTTTTGTACATCTTTTATTCAATTTCATTATATAAGTATTTTATTCTTTATAAAGCTATTGTGAGTGGAATTGTTTTCTCAATTTCTTTTTCAGATTGTTTGCTGCGAGCGTATGGAAGTAGAACTGGCTTTTGTGTATTGATCTTGTGTCCTGCAACCAACCTTGTTAAACTAATCTATTGATTCCAATAGTTTTTAGTGGATTATTTAGGATTTTCTAAGTACAAGGTCATATAATTTGTGGATAGAGATAGTTTACTTCTATTCCAATCTGTATTCCTTTTATTTCTTTTTCTTGCCTAGTTACCTTAGCTTAAATCTTTAGTACAAATATTGAATAGAAGTGGCAAGATCAAATATTCTTGTCTCATTTTTTATCTAAAGGGTGAAAGTATCCAATCTTTTACCATTAAGTATAATGTTAGCTATGGGGTTTTTTTAAACAGATATTCCTAGCTTGTTGAGAGTTTTTATTACAAAAAATGTTGGATTTTGTTAAATGTTTTCTCTATATCTGTTGAGATGATCTTATGGTTTTTCCTTTTCATTCTATTGACATTAATTGATTTCAGGATACTAAACTATACAACATTTTACATTAACTGACCTCAGGATTTTTTTCTTTTGATATGATGTTTTATATTAATTAATTTCAGAACATTATATTAAATTAATCTTTTATCCTTGGGAAAAATTCCACTTGATCATGGAACATAAATCTTTTTATATATTTTGGATATATTGTGGACTTTTCAATGAGTTTCATCTACTCTATAGAGTATACTTATATTCTTTACAGCGTAAGAAGTGCAACAGAAACACAGGCATCACACTAAAGGTTCGGCATATTTATCACAGTGCATTAGTACTATTTGTTGGCTTGACTGCTGACCAATATTGAAAATACTTGGCTTCTTTAAGGATTACTCACTCATCATAAGACAGTTTACTGCATCCTCATCAATCCAAACTCCAAACATACATTTGAGTAAAAAAGCCCAACCAGCTCCTTGCTCTTATAAATACTAGATGCTCTGTATATATTTGCAGACTAATTAATTGATAGACAATGGGTTCTGAGACATGCAGGCAACTCACATGTGATGTCTGATATATTGAGCACATTTGTAGGCTGTCCGTACAGAAGAGTATCAGACTACCATCAAGTGGTAGGCTGGGAGAGCCAGCTCAGGAAGTTGGAAGAGGAGCAAGGTAGGCATGTCATGTTCAGGAAACATAGCTCCAAGGCTCCTGAGTGGTAGTTTTATTGTGAGCTGAAGTCAGAAAGGGGATATAAAAACATGAAACATGATGTTATTTTAACTGCTAAAAGAGAACATGATAGATGCCTTTCTCTGAGTTTCCATGTGGCCTGTGCAGGCCTCAATCATAACACTTGCTGATTTAGTTGCCAGCCCCCATCACTGGAAAGTCTGCATATCAAAAGTGTTTGGGATAGAAAAAGTATGCAATATTTGCTTGTTGAATGAGTAAATAGTAAGCTGACTGATCCATCTGATGGGTGACAATGGTGGTCATAATAGCTTTGGGCAAATAAAGCATAGCAACTCTCAGGAAAAGAGGTGAAGACTTTTTAAAAAGATTTAAAAATAGCAATAGCTACTATAATCAAATAGTAGATTTTGATGTATTTGGCTTTAGCAGAAGTATAATTTATCCCCTCGATCAGAATTCTTGAACAACATAGACAATGACATTTTATACTCCAAGGGCCAAGCTTCCAAGCTCATGATTCTTCTCCCTCTCTCATTTCTAGAAAACAGCAATAATCAACTCTCATCAAATCTGCAAAAAAACAGTTTTTCCAAGGTAAAAGAACACACAGAGATCAGGATTAAAGAAAGGATCTTTCTGTCTTCCATTAGTTCGCTACATTTTTAAAGCATCTTCAGTTACATTTCCTAGAATTTAAAAAAGTATTATGCTAAGTATAAAAATCGACTGCAAATTGGATTCTAATTTTCAAAACATTAAAATATGCATTCCAGAAGCAAAGAAATATAGTCTATCTGTTTTCACTTTTCGGCTCATGATATCCCACTAAAAAATCAAATAGCATTTTAAACATGTGTTTAATGTGGTGTGTTTTTTCTGTTATGTCATATCAAGATGACAATGAGGTACTTTAATGATAATACTGATGATCGCAGTACTTTTTAAATCTCGCTTGGATACTTAACCAACAGGGCTTAACTTGTGAGTAAATAGATGTCTGATTATATCTATGCAAACCAATTGCAATTATTCTTGTCCTTCAGATAATAAGGTCTTCCCAGCTTTGTGTAGTTTCAAAGGAAATAATTTTGGTCTTTTAAACACAATAACCAGCGGGCAGAAATGAGAACAACAGCATTTAAATTCCCATAGAAAATAGTATCTCTGCTACAGGGAGGGGTCCTTACAAGCAGGGAAAGATAGATGTGGCTTTCAATGTACTTTTCTCTGCCTTAAATTCTTGGTTCTCACAGCCTCTCTTGGTTTCATAGTTGATTTCATTTAGAAAAACCAATAGATGGGAAGGACTTTTATCCTCTAAATGTACTGCCTAGCTTGAAAACAGTGATATGTACAAGGTGTTTTTCTTTCACCCATTGACAGTCTAAAATCTAGTGTAGTAGACACGAAATTTAAGGCATTTGAAAATCTGGTGAAATTTTTAGAGTATCTGACCTCACGCTCACATATTGAATGAAAGAGATGTTCTAGCTAATCTTCTTTAAGGTCCTATTCACTTAATGGAAATGCTTAGCTGCATAATTGCTTTGAGCCTATTGCCATTCCAAATAGAAAATATAATAATCTAATGGTATTGTCTCTATAAGCGAATGAGAATTTCAGGAGTGGCTGTTGGTGCCACCCATGTGATCCAGAGAGGTTAATGCAGTTAAAGTTATTTCACAGTCCATTAAGGAGCTTACGGTGACCTCACGACCTTTGCGCCAACAACACGGAATCCATTATCATCACAATGGAGGAGCTGTGGGTTCGGCTGACTTGACAATGGGCCCGGGAAATCCCAAGTTAGTACTTAGTTTAAAAAAATGCACTTTTCTTTCTGCTTCTTGGGTATGGCTATTAATATGCCCTCCTATAATTTGTAACATTAACATTGCTGAAGGTACAGAAAAGGACATTGAAATGAAGATGTCAAAACTGCTGACTTAGTTCAGTGCATGATAATATTGGCTATGTATTGAAGTAGTAGGTATCTAACAGCAAAATCAAGATGAAGAAAGTCAAGGAACTCAGTTAATGATAAATTATCACAGGTTGTGAGATTCATTTAGGCAAATAATAGCTTTTCTCTATTTTTTAATGTTACCTCCTATCCTGAGATTTAATTTATGATTTAGAAAGAAACGAATACTTTTAAATTGACAATAAGAATGTTAAGAATGTAATTCATCAAAACTACATTGAGTTACTTTATGAAAATCCAAATTTCAGAGGAATGTGACAGATTGTATTTTTTCAAGCACATCTCACTATGGCAAATAATGCCACTAGACAGACATTAATTGTTTGTCTTTCTTCTGTATGTAATTGGGTGAAAGATACCACTGTCACTTTTTAAATAGATTTAAGGCATGGGGTTAAAAATAAAGATTTTTATGAGAGTACTGGTTAATAGGAAAGTGTTAATTAGCATTTTTGCTCTCCAAGATGAACTTTACTACACAGGAGTCTACTGTGGAGAAAATAACAAATATTAAAATGAAAATTAGATTTTGCAGTACAGGTAGTTTCTATCAATAGAAAAGAAATACTAGGTCAAATCATTCTTATGCCAAAAAAATTAAACAAGATCATTTATAGATGTAAAGGTAAAATTGTAAACACAGGCTGCGAAAGAGCCATTTATATTCCCAGAACCCAAAAAGAAATTATTTTAAAATAATTTAAGGAAGGCATTTAAATGTAATTAAAGAATCTAGCAGAACATTTCAAAGATAGTTATTGCTGATGGTAGTTAACATATCTTCCCCCATTTAAACACAATAAGGTTTCAGCATTTATTATAGTTCCAAGTGCCTGTAATATAATCACACTAAAGCTGAGATCTCCAGTTAATTTTCAGGAACACATTGTGATGATGGCTTTTTATGGTTTGCTGTCTGAGAAAATAATTTTTTAAAAAGTTTCTCCTACTTCTGATGATTCAGAAGAAAAGAACATGATCAAACAGTATTTTCTAAACAGTTCCAGTTGAGATCTGTTTTATTTAAGAAAAAATGTTCAAACGATATATTAAATTTAGTGTTTGAATTTGGTGTTAAAATCTACCGGTTAAGATTTAGAATTAAAATAAAAGTATCTTCCTGTAGTTTTACATTAAGTTGAATAAATATAACTCAGAAATAATATATGTAAAAAGTAGGTATGTAATCATTTATTATTAAAGAAGTTTACAGAGGCTATAGTTACCAACCAGTAAGCCTGCAGTGATGCTGTTTCTAAAAGAGGATTTAACAGTATTTGGCTTTTGAATTTTTCCATTGTTATTATAATTTTGAAATAATTAAGACCAACTGGGACTTATTTTAAAAAGTCATTGAATTTAATTCTGTAATTCATTACATAACTTACAAAAGAAAAATAGCCAGATAATATACTTTCATTATTTGCTCTAATTCATTAACCTAAAACGTCTTACAAGATATTTGCAGTAGTTGGAATATGTATTTTTTATTGATAAACTCTAGACGATATGTTTTAAGTGTTTTTTTCTCAGTGAATATTTGTTTTAATGATTAATTGTCATTGTAATACATTTTCTGTATCTTATTCCTTAAATGAGCATCTTATTCCTTAAATGAGCCAGAATTTCAGACAAGAACAGTATGAGAAACTGGCAAATAGAAAAGCAACCACTATAAGTAGTTTTAAAAGAGTACATATTTTAAAGGTGAAGAAATAATACAGAGTAACCATGGGTCAGAATTTTCCGTGTGCAAACTATGACAAATTTTGATGGAGTTCTAAGCCGTAATATATAAAAGTTTCTCCACAATTTGCAATATATAATATTAAATACCACTTAAAATACATTTAGAGATATAATGTATCTGACACCAAAAACGGATGTAACTACTGGACATGACTTTCTTTCAGGCTTACTGATAAGTATCATTATTATTGCTATCAGCACACATCAGAAACTGAAGGTTTAAGCATTGCACTTGATTTTCTTTAACTTTTCTTAAAATTATTGCTGGTTCTGACAGTTCTGTTGTCTGAGGGCTTTGTTTACAAGGGTACCTCTTCTATCAAGAATTCTCTCTTTATAGAAGAATTAATAAAAGAAAAGAAAAAAAACCTCAAAACTCTGGCAAAATATAAAACATTATTCTTAAAGGAGAAATGTGTAGCTCCAAGCTCTAGTGAGACAGAGCAAATTTGCTATGTAAAGATGCCTCTATTTGACTAAAGGGAAAGTTATCGCTCAGAGGCTGGCATAAAGCGTGAAAATAGAAATGCTGCTTCCAAAGTGAATCTCAGACTTCAGTAGCCAAAAATAAACTGGTTCTTGGCTGAAAGACATAAGTGCAATTGTGAAATTGATATCCCTCCTTGGCGGAGTCCCAGACAATATGTTGCCTTTCGGGGGCTGATCAACGTGATTGATGTGATCTGTGAAAGCCAGGGGGGTGCTCCCCTTTAATCAAACCCACCGTCCTCGACAGAGAGGCAGCTGTGGACTAACAAGTTCTTCAGGCTTTCTCCCTCCAGGTCTCCTTAGAAATCTGACAGCCCAGAAGGAGAAAAAGGTGGCAAAATAGCTGCAAACCAAACGCCACCCTGGAAAAGAAAAGGAGAGAAAAGAATGAAAAGATCAGCTATTGATTGAGACATAAGATGGCAGCAATTGAACAGTATATTGCCTTTCAAAGAGAAATTCAGACTTCACTTTTAATGCCGTAACAAACTTACTAAAGACATGCAGCTAGGGTGTTGGTTTTTTTTCCTTCTAAAAAGCTAGATTTTTCTGCTTCCATCCTTAGTAATAATCAGGGTCATAGGATCAACACTCCTGTTTTTTTATTTCCCTCTTCAGCTTTCACGTTTGCATCATAGATTTTAGAGTTGTACTAATCTGTCCTCCACAAAAGACATGCAAAAGATAAAGTCCCATGGAGAAAAATAACCTAAAATTCTTCAGGGAGTAACATTAAGTTTACAGACGTGCTGTGGTTATCAGTGTGGTAAATATTAAACATCATGTCCCTAATCTTGTAATCACTTAACTTATCACTTGTTCAGACACTTCTCTGTTGCTATAAATGAAGGCATAGGAATATCAGATTGGAGCTTTTGCATTTCCTGTGGTAAATGTTTCTAAACCTATAACAAATTGGCACTGTTCATTTCTTCTATAGCTATTGTATGACCCAAATTGATTCTAGCTTAAAAGATGAACACCTGGGTATAATCTATTTTTTCAGGGTTTTCTTTAACGTTGAAAGGCTTCCAAATTGGTTAACCTTAGCACACTTCCTTGCACTGTTGTCCTATTCTCACATAATATTCTGGTGCCAGATTGTCAGCTAATTATGTCACAAGCAATCAACTAACAAAGCACAGCCATTCTCGCCTGGAGAATGAACCTTGTTTCAGAGTTACTCCAAGGAAAAAATAGGTTCTTTCATTAAAGAAATCTGGAGCAAGAGTTTTATTTAACTCTACATTCCATTTCAACACTGCTATTTCTGCGATGCTGTGGGGATGTTGATTGCTGGTTATTTCTTAAGCAGCTGCATTGGGGGAACACCCTGGAGCTCCATGAAGCCCCTGGTTCATCACGAAGTGTAAATGGGAAGATGCACAACTATTTGGTAAAACTCTATTATGTCAGTTTCTAAAATGAAAACCAACAAGTCATCTTCCTCCAAAAGGTCATTTTTGGCTTAATCTCTTTGAAGAATTACCTCTGGTAAAGACCAGGTATGAAGCAAAAATACAGCAAATTGTTAATGATGTGTTTTAATGGAGATGAGATTTAGCATAGACATGCAAACTAAGAGAATACCGAGAAATCACTGACAGTAGAAAAGTGAATTTGTGATAGAAGTGTGGAGTTGTCTGGATATGTTTCTAAGAGTAGATAAAATTACGTCTAAGTGCCTAACAGACAGCCTGGCATGGCCCTCAATAAAGACTAGTTCTCAGGGTTAGGCGCTGTGGCTCTCACTTGTAATCCTCAGCACTTTGGGAGGTTGAGGCGGGCAGAGATCGCCTGAGTTCAGGAGTTCGAGGCCAGCCTAGTCAACATGGTGAAACCCTGTCTCTACTAGAAATACAAAAATTAGCCAGGCATGGTGGTACATGCCTGTAATCCCAGCTACTCGGGAGGCTGAGACAGGAGAACTACTTGAACCCAGGAGGCAGAGGTTGCAGTGAGTCGAGATTGGGCTGCTGCACTCCTGCCTGGGCAATAGAGTGACAGTCCATCTCGGGGGAGGGGGGCGGGGACTAGTTCTCCTTTTTGTGCAGGCAAACTTTAAAATTAGTTCTCAATTTTTGAGCACATGGCCGCTTGTAGGTAGAGAGACCTAGCCAAGTGATACAACAATAAAGAGCCTGTGTGGATGAAACATTTACTAAGAATAAATGATTTATGTTAGTACACATCTTTCTTTTCATCTATTAAGGCTTTACTGGTATTCATTATCTATTAAATAAAATAATCATAATTTAATGTGAACATATTTTAAAATCCTACTGGGAAGAGAAAACTAACACACAAGAAGAAACTGGATAAAATATTACAGTACATAATTAAGTGATATACTTTATAGCATGAATAATAAAATGCAATAGGAATTCAAAAAATAGGAAAATTTGCTCATGGCTTCTTCTTGAGGTTCTTGGGTCGTTCCTCAGAGTTACAAAGCCAAGAAGAGCTTTTGGGTTCTTGGTTACTAGCAAATGGGAGAATAATCTCTTGGAATGCTGACCAGTCCAATACTTTGCTCTGACAATAAAAATGTGAAACTTGGCGGACACAGTGGCTCACACCTATAATCCCAGCACTTTGGGAGGCCAAGGCAGGTGGATCACCTGAGGTCAAGAATTCAAGACCAGCCTGGCCAACATGATGAAACCCCATTTCTACTAAAAAATACATACACACACACACACACACACACACACACATTGTATATATATACACATACACATATATGTTATATATATTATATACATATATATATTAGCCAGATGTGGTGACAGGTGCCTGTAATCCCAGCTACTTGGGAGGCCGAGGCAGAAGAATCTCTTGAATCTGGGAGGCAGAGGTTGCAGTGAGCCAAGGTCACACCACTGCACTCCAGTCTGGGCAAAAAGAGTGAAACTCTGTCTCAAAATAAATAAATACATAAACAAAAATGTAAAACTTTAAATCCTGATAATTAAGATTAGACTCAAAATAAAGGTTTTAGGTACCATGACCACTAAGATCCCAGAGACTGAAAGTATAGCTCCTGTAACTCCAATGGGTACTATTAATACTTGTTATAGGGACACTACTTACTATTCTCATAAATTTCTTTAATTGTATTGATTTAAATAGAAAAAAACATTTTAAGGTGAAACCTTAAAAACTACCAAACTCCTAAGAGTATTAATGAGATATTCCTTAAAAATAATGACGAAGAGAAAAAAAAATTGTTTGGAATGTATGTAATGCCTTTATTTTTAGTAAGAGATGCTGCATTTTCATCAAGTGTAACAGAAAACACCTTCGTCCAAAAGGTTTTTCATTTTATAACAGATGATTCTGGGAAAATAAAATCTTAGCTTGAGACATGAGTAGATATGCAGGAATACTGCTGAAAAGGATGCAATTTTCACAGTATTTCACAAGCTGAATCTAATTCAACTCTGCAGCATCTTTTACAAGACCATGATCTTGAAAGCACAAATAGGAGAAGAAACCAAAGAAATAATTCAGTAACCCTCTCATTATATTGACAATGATCAAAACTGAGTGTCAAGGCCTTTATGTATGGATAAACTAAAATGATAAGTAATTCCTAGGAGGGCCACAAATACATAAAAGGTGTTAAAATTAGGCATAAGGCAAAATTTAAGAAGTTTGAGTTTCCTGGCTTGGTGAAGTGATTTGTGATTAATATTCTGGGATATAAGAAGTTATAAGACATTAAAAATGTGATCATATATTTCCAATTTCCACCACCAAGAAAGGAAAAAGAGTGGGTAAGTTTAAAATGCATGAAGGGGATGGAGGTTAGAAATTCTGAAGATGGCCTGGACAGGGAAGATTATACTGAAATTTATAACTTGAAAAAGTCTGAAACTGTTTTCCCTGGAGATTTTTGAAAATAGAGGAGAGATGATGTATTTTGGTTCAGAATGATTTTAATGCCATTCTGTCTAGAGTCAAAGGAAGAGGTGACTAAAAATGCCCTATCCTGGCTTTGAAAACAAGATTATTATGAAATCAGCCTACATTATTCCAGTAAAATAATATCAACAGGAAAAAACAATTTGATTTTTGTTGCTAGAAAAGTGGGCTAGATTTAATTTTTCTAAGTTGCACACTCTATGGTAAATTTGCTTCTAAGGCCTCCCCCGGCCCATTCCCTTGTCCCCCCAAAATAAAAGCAATCAGCATATTCATAAGCACTATGTGCAGACCTTCACCTACTTATTGGGTCTGTGACTGGGGAGCCTTACTTAGGTGGGTTTTTATCTTCATGGGGATCTTGAGGTTTTGCTGTTTAGAAGGAAACAGGAATTCTAAGACATGAAAGTAGTGTAATTATTCCTATTTTAGGATGAGTTTTGGGACTTTTTAGGCATTATAGATTTTTATTCTTGTATTTATTCTTTTTTGGTAACAGGAGAGAAGCAAAATATATGTAAAGTAGTAGTTTATAATCATATTCAATTGGAGGCTGGGAATCTTTAAATAAAAAAATTTCAAAGTTATATAACCTGTATAAGGCAGCAATTATATTTTAGTGCCTCTTTGAGAAGTACATAGAAAACAATGTACAACACATAGACTTTTAAATTAATTTTTTAAAAGCATTATTAGTCACTATCTTTACATACACATGGAAAATGGTGTTTTGTCTTCACCTTATAGGCAATGCCTGGTACACATGGACTGACAGAAACTCTTCAGGGGTCCTCAAGGACCCCTTGCCCTTGGGTTAGAAACTTCTCTTCTAAATAAGTGACACTCATTCTTTTTGGCATTTTCCCTCTTAGCATGCAACATTATCATCAATGGAGAAGAAAATCTGTTTTTAGGGTGAACTCAAATTCGAAATAAATGACTCAACAGTGATTGGAGGTGACTTGGAGCATAGAGGAAAGTAATGTGCTATTTACAGTGACAAATTTCACAGTTGTTTAACTTCAGCCCATTTGAACCATTTGGGGAAAATTTATTTATTTAACCACTAAAGTTAAAGATTAAGAAAATCAGCCTGTGGTACCACCTAATTAATGATTTTTCAAGGTGTCTTTTTCAAAACAGCACCTTATTTATTGTGCATATTCTAGATCAACATTTAAAAGGTCTTCCTTCAGCCCCTGCCAAGCAGGCCTATTAGGAAGTGAGTAAATTTAATAAACACACAACTGCACTAAGTATGCATCACCTAATTTGCATGTCTGTGCGGGTACAAGTGCAGTCAGTGTGGGCAAACAGCTGTCTGCTCTTCGTTTGTGTGGGTATGTAAATGAGGCCCTCAGAAAATGTGTCTCTATCAAATATAGCAAACCTAGGATTGGAAGGGAGCTTCAGAAGCCATCCG